GATCTCAGGTTATCTGCCTGCCTCTGCCTCCCAAACTGCTGGGATTTTAGGCATGAGCCACCACACCTGGCTCAGATTATATGTTATGTGGAGAGGTTCTCATTTCTGGCAACCAATGACAGGAGGTTTAGAAGGCATAGTGATCAACATGAGAAAATACATGGATTTAAGTTTGAGCTGGAAATGCTTAGGCAACCTTAGATCTCCATTATGTCTGGCGGAAGCATCAGCAGGTATAAGGCAGACGTGAAGTGGTTGGCTGAGGACCTGGGCCTCTATTCTTTGTATTTTTGTTTGTTTGTTTATTCCTGAATATCAGAAAGGATGGAAATAGGGAAGGCTATGCAGGGATTATGGCCCAGTCTTTTTTTTTTTTTTTTTTTTTTTTTGAGACGGAGTCTCACACTGTCGCCCAGGCTGGAATGCAGTGGCGCAATCTCGACTCCCTGCAAGCTCTGCCTCCTGGGTTCAGGCCATTCTCCTGCCTCAGCCTCCGGAGTAGCTGGGACTACAGGCACCCGCCACCACGCCCAGCTAATTTTCTTTTTTGTAGTTTTAGTAGAGATGAGGTTTCACCGTGTTAACCAGGATGGTCTCGGATCTCCTGACCTCGTGCTTTGCCTGCCTCGGCCTCCCAAAGTGCTGGGATTACAGGTGTGAGCCACCGCGCCCGACCTGGAGTCTGTGTTTTTTAAGTAGATATGAGTAGATTTTCTAAAGTGTAGGGTAAGAGAAAGAGGTTAATGGTAAGAGTAGTTTTCAGTGGGAATAATTAAGTTAGGTTTTGGCCATGTTGATATGAGATGTTCCAGAGACCCTTGAGTGGATTCGTTGAGTGGGCACCTGGACAAAGAAGTCTGGAATTCAGGTGAAGGGTTCAGATTGGAAATACACACGATACAGTTGGTGTGTGCACCAAATGGGGTAATGGAGCAGATTTAGGAGGGAGCATCTTGAGGTCCTATTGGTAATGCCATTAGGTAATAAGGGAGAATAGGGGCAAAGAACTGATTCTCTTGCTTGGATACCTGGATGGGAGTGGTAGGCTTCACAAGGACATGAGGGAGAATGGTGGCCATGGGGAAGGGGATGTAGTGGTAAGGAGGGTCTGGTTGGTGACCAAAGTTCCTGTGGGGGTAAACATGAGATGGACATGAAGATGAAGCTATAATGACGTAAGATGACAGGAAGGCAGGCACTGCTGCTTATTCATCCAACTGTGGGATCACAAGGCTTTTGTTCTTACCTGGGACCTGGGGAGCTTCTCAGGCTGCTGGATTAGCTCAAGATCAAATGAGGTCATCTGGGAGAATTGCTGGGCCTGGTTTGGGAGACTTGGGCTTCTTTTTTTTAATTTTAATTTTTATTTATTTATTATTATTTTTTTTGAGATGGAATTTCACTCTTGTTGCCCAGGCTAGAGTGCAATGGCAAGATCTTGGCTCACAGCAACCTCCGCCTCCTGGGTTCAAGCTGTTCTCCTACCTCAGCCTCCCAAGTACCTGGGATTACAGGCATGTGCCAACACGCCCAGCTAATTGTGTATTTTTTGTGGAGACGGGGTTTCTCCATGTTGGTCAGGCTGGTCTCGAACTCCTGACCTCAGGTGATCCACCTGCCTCGGCCTCCGAAAGTGGTGGGATTACAGGCATGAGCCACCACACCCGGCCTGGCCTGCGATTCTAATGAGAGTCAGAGGAAGGCTGACATTGGGAAGGGACAGCTTCTCAACACAGATATGGAAGAGTGCCAAAGGCGTCCAAATATGTGTGCAATTCCAAGTAGCTGAAAGTGAAGCAACAAAACGAGCCAGGTAGGGAGGCCTTCAAAGTGAGGCTGAGGGTTGCCCCTGGCAGTCAGTGCCATTGGAGGTCTAGGATGGGATGGTGTTCTGATTGCATTTGGTAAGTGCCCTCTGGATGCCATGTGTAGACTAGAATGTAGTGACACTAGGGGAGGTACATAAGGTGGTATAGGGGGCAGTGGTTGTGGTACAGAGTATGTGTACATTCTAATGAGTATAAACAGATGTCCCCAGGGACCTTGTATTGGGGACTTCAGGGAGAACACTACACAAATTTGTTTGTATTTGGTAAACAGTCTTGGAATCCAAGGTCAGTTGTCTGACAAGAGAAGAGTAGGACTCTGCATACCACGCCCAGAGCTGAAATGGACTATATCTGCCTACCTGCCTGTGCTTGCTCAGTGGGAACATGAGGAGAGAGGGGGCATCAGTGGTTCTGGGACAGGGTCTCTCCTTTGAGATGGGGATTGAGGAAGAGGGTGAGCAGGGGTGGATGTTCAGGGGGATGCCTAAATTCCCCAGTAAGGAGGCCACAGATAAACTCAACTCTCTCCATCTTAGCAGGGCTATGTGACCTTTGAGGACGTGGCTGTCTACTTCTCCCAGGAGGAATGGAGATTGCTTGATGAGACTCAGAGGCTCCTCTACCGCAATGTGATGCTGGAGAACTTTTCACTTCTGGCCTCTCTGGGTAAGTTTCTCACACCCCACCCCAGCATCCTGGGCTGGGCTCGTCTCTTCCTACTTTTCCTAGTGACAGATCTGTTCTTCCCAAAGCTGAATTGTGGGCACTCATTCCTTCTCCAGTATCCTGAAGTAGCTATTGTAATTGGCCTGGGCTGTGTATACTACCATCTTCTCTCCCCGAGCGGCCCCGGAGCTGTGCAGGAAAGAGTTTGGGGGTCACGAGTCTTGCAGTCAACTTGATGGAACTTAACCCTGGTGGCCTCTCTGTGGCCTGGTGACACTGTGCAGATCTGTGGTAATTCTATTCCCCTACGTTCTGCCTGCCTCCTCTAGCCAACATACCTGTGCCAGCAATTGAGTCACCAATGTGATTGCTGTTTGACTGGGTTGCTCCTGTAAGACCCTCCTCCAAGGTTCTTTCTGTACTATGTTGTTTTCTTTCCTGTGGTCCATGATGGGATAGGTCATTCTGGCTCAGTGCTGCCACTCACCTGTTGTTTTCCTTAGGACTTGCATCTTCCAAGACCCATGAAATAACCCAGCTGGAGTCATGGGAGGAGCCCTTCATGCCTGCTTGGGAAGTTATGACTGCAGCCTTACCAAAAGGTACTTGGTGGGTGGAGCTCAGGGAGGTATGAACTCGGAGATGGGTTCATATCATACCAGGAGTCTTTGCAGTGGGCCCAGATATTTTGATACCAAGGCAAGGGGTCATCGCTGATTTCTATCTTTTCTTCCTCAGTCACCCATTTATATCTATTCTGATATTTGACCCGGGGCCATTCCCCACCTCTCTGTCCTCCATGTTTCACCCAATCCTCAGCAGCACCTTTCAGCAGTGGCTTTCACTGAATGTATGGTGAGGTGGGAGCTTATCCTTGCATATAGTGCTTGGACACCAACTATTTCTTTCCAGTTGGTTTTTTTTTTTGAGACGGAGTCTCGCTCTGTTGCCCTGGTTGGAGTGCAGTGGCTTGATCTTGGCTCACTGCAAGCTCCTCCTATCAAGTTCATGCCATTTTCCTGCCTCAGCCTCCTGAGTAGCTGGGACTACTGCCACCACGCCCGGCTAATTTTTTGTATTTTTAGTAGAGACTGGGTTTCACCATGTTAGCCTGAATGGTCTCGATCTCCTGACCTTATGATCCACCTGCCTTGACCTCCCAAAATGCTGGGATTACAGGCATGAGTCACCGCGCCCATCTTGCAGTTGATTTTTTCTGGACCTGGACATAACCTTCTGTGCCATGTTCCTGTGTCTCCAGCAGCCAAAGTCCTGTGGAAAGCCATTTGCAGTGGATTTTGTTGCGGACTCTGCCTCTCCTCCCTATGCTACACCCCATCCTTGCATCTTTGGTGCTCATGAGGCCTCCCCAAATCCGTGATCTAGCCAGGTTCAGCACTGCACAGCAGGCCCTTCCCCACCAAGTGCTAGCCCCCTCATTCTGCCAGCAGTCCCAGGCACTAATTACTGGGTGTGTCAAACACATTTGTGAGAGTGCTGCCTCCTCACACCAAAGACTACGTTTACTTCATCAACATTTCTCTTCTTTCAGGTTGTTGGCATGGAGCTGAGGCCGAGGAGGCCCTTGAGCAGAATGCTTCTGTAAAAGTGCCCAGTTCAAACGTTCAGCAACACCAGAAGCACTATGGAGAGAAACCCTTAAAAAGACAAGAGGGCAGGGTCCCAGTTTTGAGGAGTTGCAGAGTCCACCTGTCAGAGAAGTCCTTGCAAAGCAGAGAAGTTGGGAAGGACCTCCTGACCAGCTCAGGTGTTCTCAAGCACCAGATGACTCACATGGGAGAGAAGTCACATAGGAGCTCCAAAAGTAAGGAGGCCTTTCATGCTGGAAAAAGGTATTACAAATGCAGTGAATGTGGGAAAGACTTTGGTCAGAAATATTTACTTGTTCAGCACCAGAGACTACACACTGGGGAAAAGCCTTATGAATGCAGTGAATGTGGGAAGTTATTTAGCCATAAGTCCAACCTTTTTATACACCAAATAGTTCACACTGGAGAAAGGCCTTATGGGTGTAGTGACTGTGGAAAATCCTTTAGCCGTAATGCTGACCTCATTCAACATCAGAGAGTTCACACTGGAGAAAAGCCTTTTACATGCAGTGAATGTGGAAAAGCTTTCAGGCATAATTCCACACTTGTTCAGCATCACAGAATCCACACTGGAGTAAGGCCTTATGAGTGCAGTGAATGTGGAAAATTGTTTAGTTTCAACTCCAGCCTCATGAAACATCAGAGAGTTCACACTGGAGAAAGACCTTATAAGTGCAGTGAATGTGGAAAATTCTATAGCCACAAGTCCAGCCTCATCAATCATTGGCGTGTTCACACTGGAGAAAGGCCTTATGAGTGCAGTGAATGTGGGAAGTTTTTTAGCCAAAGTTCAAGCCTCATGCAACATCGAAAAGTTCACACTGGAGAAAAGCCTTTTAAGTGCAATGAATGTGGGAGATTCTTTAGTGAGAATTCCAGCCTGGTTAAACATCAGAGGGTTCACACTGGAGCAAAGCCTTATGAGTGCAGGGAATGTGGGAAATTTTTTCGCCACAGCTCCAGTCTTGTTAAACATCGAAGGATTCACACTGGGGAAATACAGTGATTGTGGGAAATCCTTTAGCCAGCATTTCAACCTCATTCAACACCAGAAAGTTCACAGGGGAAAAAAGTCTTGAAGGTAACAAATGGAAATCCATTAGCTACACTTCCAAACTCATTCAACACTGGACAGACAGTTCACAGAGTGGACAATGTAGTGAATATGGAGAAAGGCCTCAGCCAAAGGCCTAACCTTATTCAACACCAGAAAGTTTAGACTGGAGAAAGGCCTTAGACTGTCGCTGATTCAATATGATTCACCTTGCCGGGCACGGTGACTCACACCTGTTAATCTTACCACTTTGGGAGGCTGAAGCAGGCGGATCACAAGGTCAGAACATCGAGACCATCCTGGTTAACACGACGAAACCCTGTCTCTGCTAAAAATACAAAAAATTACCAGGCATGGTGGCAGGCACCCATAGTCCCAGCTACTCAGGAGGCTGAGGCAGGAGAATGACGTGAACCCAGGAGGTGGAATTTGCAGTGAGCCGAGATCGCACCACTGCACTCCAGCGTGAGTGACAGAGCGAGACTCCGTCTCAAAAAAAGAAAAACAGAAAACAAAAACCGGGCGTGGTGGCAGGCACCTGTAGTCCCAGCTACTTAGGAGGCTGAGGCAGGAGATTCACTTGAACCTGGGAGGCAGAGATTGCATGGAGCCGAGATCACGCCACTGCACTCCAGCCTGGGTGACCGAGCGAGACTTCGTCTCAAACAAACAAATAAATAAACAAAAAACCCAGAAACTCTGAGGATAATCTTTATGAGGGAGCTGGCAACTGAATGTCATTCATCTAAATATGCACACTGGAGGCAGGACGAGAATTCCTGACAGATTGTCCTTCCTGAGAAAATAGCCCTCTGCCTTGGAGCTCCAGAGAGAGGGAGCCCTGTATTCTTGGCTGCAGCAGTCGAATGGAGTTTTTATCTCGCTGAGTTTGGAGTTGGGGGAGGAAAGGAGTGGTCTTGGTTCAGATGTGACTGACTTTTGCTGTTCTTATGAATGTTAGATCTTCTTTAATAAATATTTATTTGCCGTACACCCTTGTGACCATTTCCAGAGACTGAATTGTGTTTTTATAATGTTCACCCTTTTAGCTATGTAACAGGGCTACAAAGCTCCTCAGTTATTCTGTAAGTGGATCCAAATGTTTGAAATTTTAGTTGCCAAATTGTGTTCTAAATGGTTAGCATTTCGTATTTCCTCCTGGAATATATTAGGTTTTCCATTTCTTCACATTACTGACAATTTATATGTATGGAAATCATAGGCCATTCATTTTAGCCATTTTACTAAATATGCAGTAGTATTTCACTGTAGTTCTTAATTTGTGTTTTTCCAATGACTTAGTTTTCAGCTTTTTTTAATGTGCTTATTTGTCACTCATATATATCTTCGTTAGTAAAATGTCTGTTGGTATTTTTTGCCTGTTTGTTAAAACATTTGGTTGGTTGCAAGTTCTTAACATTTCTGAAGACAAATTCCTTATTTGATATAAGCATTGGGAATATTTTTTCATTGTCTGTGGCTTTTGTTTTCTTTTTTAAAATTTAGAGGTGCGGTCTTGCTATGTTACATAGACTAGTCTCTTAACTCCTGGCCTCAAGTGGTCATCCTGCCTCAGACTCCCAAAGTGCCAGGGTACAGGCATGAGCCACCATGCTTGACCTTGTTTTCAGTTCTTAACAGTATCTTTCCTAAAGCAGATTGTCTTAATTTTATGAAGCCCAGTTTATCCATTTGTTATTTTATTCAATATGCATTTGGTGTTGTATTCTCATACTATACCATATATTTGCCTATAAATAAAACCCTTACATGAGTATGCTACTGTAGTCTTAAGAATCTTTTTAAATAACCAACTTCTGAAATATTTGTAGGTTTAACCTACAAAAAAAGAATTCAATTTATGTAGATAAAGAATTCAATTTAAATAGATAATGTGTACATACTCCCTATCTTTTGTGAGATATCCTAGCAAGCAGTGGCATTCCAGTAGCTTTGAGCATATTTAATGCCCAGTTATTGGTTTGTATAATTTTTTAATAAAGGGAACCAGAACTCCTTAGAGAAGAGGCTGTTTTCTGATTGTGGCAGAAAAGGTACAACATGAGTCGAGGAAATACTGCATTGGAAAGTAAAGAGATGCTCACAGAATAATGTTGATGTATTAGCTTTCTATTGCTATCCTGACAAATCACCACAAACTTACGGTTTAAACAATACAAATATATTATCTTACAGTTCTTTAGGTCATAAGTATAATAGAGACATCACTGGGTTAAAATCAAAGTGTTGTCATGATTGTGTTCCTTACTAGAGTCTCACGGAGAATCTGTTTCTTGCTTATTTTGAGTTGTTAGCATATTTAAGTTCTTTGTGGTTGCAGGACTGAGGTTCCTTTTTCTTGATGGCATCAACTGAGGGTCATTCCTAAAACATGTAAGAACTTTTATGAAATATTAAAGGAAGAAATCGTACCAATTATATACAGGCTCTTCCAAAAACAGAAAGGTTCAAACACTTCTGAACTATATGAAAGTTAGCATTAACAGGACACCAAAGAGGCAATGACATTAAACAAAACTAGACCAATCACCACATGAATATAGACAGAGCCTTAACAAAATTTTAGCAAATTGAGGCACTCGTCCTTCAAATCGCCTCACTGGGGTCTCTTCCAAGCATACTTCTCTTTCTTTCTTGTTGTAAAGCCTTTTTAAATAAACTTGCACTCATGCTAAAACAAAACAAAAAGACATTTAGCAAATTGAATCCCTCCATATACAAACAATAATAAATCATAACCTGGTGAGGTTTATCAAGAATACAAGTTTGATCCAATAGTTTAAACTCTCTTAGTGTAATCTATGTTAACAGACTAAAATAAAAATCTCAAAAATGTAATAAAAGCATTTTACAAAATTCAAAACTAGGTTATGATAAACTCTGCAAACTAGAACAAGACAGTGATTTTCTCCACCTATTGCTGCACATCTATGAAAAACAGCTAACAGCACATTTGACATATATGTGATCAAATATTTGATAAGCTGATTTTCCCCAACATTAGGAATAACAGAAATGTCAACATTCATCATTTCTCATTTAAAAAAAATTTTTTTTTTATTATACATGTTCTAGGGTACATGTGCACAAAGTGCAGGTTTGTTACATATGTATACATGTGCAATGTTGGTGTGCTGCACCCATCAACTCATCATTTACATCAGGTATAACTCCCAATGCCATCCCTCCCCC